CAGTGGCCCACACCTCTTGTCCTAGGAATTTGGGAGACAAGGCAGGAGGATCAATTGAGGTCTGGAGTTTGAGACCAGCCTGGGCAACAGAGTGAGATCCCATTTCTACAAAAAATTTTAAAAATTAATTAGGCATGGTGACACATGCCTGTAATCCCAGCTGCTTGGTAGGTTGAAGTGGGAGGATTGCTTGAGCCCAGGAGCTCCAGGCTGCAGTGAGCTCTGATTGCACCTGCTCTCCAGCCTGGGAGACAGGAAAAAAAAAAAGAGTAGAATCTGAATTATGGAGACAATTAAAACATTTCTACTCTAGTGTAATTATATGCTCTAAAATATTGAGTTATATATTTTGATTTTGCTGAAATCAATTTTTAAAAATCAAATGGTATGTGAAAATAGTTAAAAGTAAAACAGCTTCACTGGGCTACTAATGAAAAGCTGTCCTCTGCCTATTCTTTAGTTGTGTTCTCCAAAGACAGTGTCTTTCAGGTTTCTTTATGGTTGCTATTGGTAATTATGTCCATATTCCCAATATTCTACTTTTGGTACTCTTTGATGATTTTTCACATTGAGATTTTACGTATGGCTTATTATTACAGAAGACAAAGATCTGGGCTCTTATTCCTGCTTTTACTGTTCCCCCAAACCCCCATTCATTCTTTTCTTCCTCCTCAATCCCAGTCTCATCTGTTCATCATCTTAAAGGAGTTATGCTTTATCTAAGTTTAGGGGTAAATACAAGTTTGTTGTTTATTTTTTTTGCAGCACTGTATTATTTATTATTACTTTTTTTCTTACACATGATTTTACCGTTATTTTAATGAATAATTATTTTGATTGTCTCTACCATCAATTATCTTTACAGTGTCTAAAGTAGTTGTAAAACTCCACTGAAAATTGGCAACAAATATAATAGTCTAAAATTCCATTTTTTTTCTCTGTTCTTTCCTGGCAGCCTCTATTTTTCTGCCACAAGTGACTAGTTAGTTTCAAGGCTTATGTACAGCGCCTTTCTCTCCAGTGCTAGAGAACAATTTCCTGGTCTGTATGCTTTCTCTTTCTTAGCATTTTTCTTCATTTTATGGAAGTATGCCATATATCATGGTATAATTTACATACCATAAAATTTACTCACTGTAAGTGGATAATGATTTATAGATGTGCAACAATTACTACAATTCAATTTTCCAATGTCTTTACGATCACAAAATGTTCCCTTGTGCCTGTGCAGTCAGTCTTTGCTTCCACCCCCAGCCCCAGGCAACTAACTTCCAGTTGGCTTTCACTTTCTATAGTTTTGCATTTTCCAGAAATGCCTTATAAATGAGATTCTACAAAACGTAGTCTTTTGTGTCTGGCTTCTTTCACCACATAATGTTTTCGATGCTCATTCGTGTGGTAGTATGTATCCACGGTTTGATTTGCTGAGTAGTATTTTATTGCATTCCTATAACCTATTTTATGTATCTATATAGCCAATTGATTGATTTAGGAATTTTCCAGTTTGATGCTGTTATGTGTAATATGACTATGAATAGTCATATACAAGTCTTCCTGGGGACATATATTTATTTCACTTGGGTAGACAACTAGCAGTGAAATTACAGGCCATATTTTGTGTATTATGATTTTTCAAGAAACTGTCAAACTAGCTTATGAAATAGTATATATTTTATATTCTCATTAACAATATATACAAGAGTTCCAAATACTCCACATCTTCACCTATATTTTATGTTGTAATTCTTTTGGATTACAACTATTCTAATGGGTAAAGATAGTGATCATTTGTTATAGTTTAATTTACAAAATTCACCCTAATAACTAATATGTTGAGCATCTTTTCATGTGTCTGTTTGCCATTGAAATACAATTTTTGGTGTAATGTCTATTAAAATATTTTGCCCTTTCTTTTTTCCTTGGGTTGTTTGTCATCTAGTTTATTGGGAAGTGTTATTCCTTCATTCTAGATAGAAGGCCTTTATCAGATATATGACTTGCAAAACTTTCATCTACATTTTGAGATTGTCTTTTAATTTTCTTAATGGTGTCCTTTGTAGAGTAAAAATTTTCAGCTTTGATGTCACCTCTAAGAAATTCACAAGAGCAAAACTTCATTTTGTTCTAACAGCTTCATAGTTTTAATGCTTACATTTAGGTATATGATATTTTATGTTAGTTTATGAGTATGGTGAGAAATGAGGGTTGTAAGTATTTTAAGTATTTTTATTGTTTTGTTTTTGTCTTTGCATATGATTAACCAATTATTCTAACATAGGCTATCCTTTCCCCATTACTTTGCTTTAGTATCTTTATCAAAAGTCTTTTCACCATAAATGTAAGTTGGTTTTGTTTTCTTAATTTTGATGGTGTTTCTGGATTCTCTCTTCTGATCTATCAGTCTATCTCTAAGTCAATAGCACACCGATATGGTTCTGCTGTATGTACAAATCTCATGTTAAAATATGATCCCTATTGTTGAAGGTGGGGCCTGGTGGGAGGCATTGGATCATGGGGCTGGATCCCTCATGAATGACTTAGCTCCATCCACTTGGTCACGAGTAATTTCTTGTTCCATTAGTTCACACAAGATATGTTTGTGTAAGAGTCTGGGATGCCCCCTTCTCTCTCTTGCTCCCTCTCTCATCGTGTGAGATACTGGCTGCCTCTACACCTCCTACCATGAGTAAAAGCTTCAGGAAGCTTCACCAGAAACCAAGCAAATGCTGGTGCCGTATTAAACTGTGAGCCAAATAAATCTCTTTCTTTATAAACTACTTACCTGGGTTCTACATAAATTACCACAGTTCCGCATGGCACCAGCATTTGGTATTCCTTTATAGCAATACAAAAAAGACTAACACACACACTGTCTTCATTCCTGTAGCTTTAGAGAAAGTTTGAGACCTGTTGGGATTTTGATAGGTATTGCATTTATTTATAGATTAACCTTAGGAGAAGTGTCAACTTAAAATTGACTGCTTGAATCTATGAACATAGTAGGTCTTTATTTATTTAGATCTTTAGTATCTCTTAGCAAAGTTTTATAATTTTCACTGTACAGGTCTTAGGCTTCTTTAAATTTATTCCCAAGTCATTTATTCTTTTGGGCTGTGAATGAAATTGTTTTCTTGATTTCATTTTGTGATTTTTCATTGCTAGTATATAAAATTCAGTTGATTTTTGTGTGTTGGTCTTGTATCCTGTGACCTTGCTAAACTTATTTATTAGTTCTATGAAAAAGATTCTGTAAATTCCTTAAGATTTTATACATTCAGAAACATATAGTCCATGAATAAATAAAGGTAGTTTTACTACTTTGTTGTTGTTTTGAGACAGGGTCTCACTCTGTTGCCCAGGGTGGAGTGCAGTGGTGTGATCACTGCTCATTGCAAATCCAACCTTCCCAGGCCCGAGTGATCCTACCACCCTAGCCTCCCAAGTAGCTGGAACTACAAGTGCACTACCACACTCAGCTACTTTCTGTATTTTTTTGTAGAGATGGGGTCTTACTATCCTGCCCAAGCTTGTCTTGAATTCCTGGACTCAAGTGATCCATCTGCCTAAGCCTCCCAAAGTGCTGGGATTACAAGTGTGAGCCACTGTGCCTGGCTAGTTTTACCACTTTTTTTCCAATCTGGATGCTGTTAGTCAATAAATGAATTAATTTGCATTATTATAATAGCTATAGCCTCCATATTTGATTAAAGTAGTGCAAGCAGATTTCCTTGCCTTGGTCCATATGACAGGGGGATAGCAGTCAACCTTCCCTCAAGTAGGATACTAGCTGTGTGTTTTTCATAGATGTCCCTTATTAGGTTGAGAAGATTCCATTCTATTTCTAGCTTACTGAGAGTGTTAAATCAGAATTGAGTGTTGGATTTTGTTAAATACTTTTTTGCACTTTTATGTAGAATATATCTTTTTTTCTTTGTTAATATGGTTTATTATATAAACTGATTTTCAGACATTAGATTAACCTTGCATTTCTGGGATAAATCCCACTTTTTCATGGATTATAATCTTTCTCTGTATGGCTGGATTCATTTTGTTGTTTTGCTAAGAAATGTTTTGCCTCTGTGTTTCTAAGACACATAAGCCTTTAAGAAATTTTTTTGTCTCCATGTGTTTCTTGGACTTTGGTATCAAGGTAGTAATGATCTCATAGAATAAGATGGGACATGGTTTTTTTTTTTTTTCCTAATATATTTTTGGAAAGTGTTTGTGTAGAATTGGTAGTATTTTTGTTGTTGTTGTTATTTTCTAGAATTCACCTGTCAAGTCCATCTGGGCCTGGGCTTTTCTTTTTAGAATTTGACTTACTAATTCGGTTAGGTCTACTTGGATATAAGGTGAGTGGGTGGAAGATTTCTCTGACTCCCTCAGAGGAAAATCTCTGTAAACAACATACAACTTTCTCCTCTGGTCACAGAGACTCTCCAGAGGAAAAGCTTTCTATTGCTTTGGGGAGTGTGGTGGTGAGTGGGTGGGGTTGGTGGTTAGGGAGTATATGTCTGGTTGTCAGCTATCATTGAGCCAAGAGGGACGAGGGGCATGGAGATTTGCTATTCTTTCTGTAGACTTTCTCTTAATATTCTTTTTCTCTCTCTCTCTGTCTCTTACCCTCCCCCCATCCTTCCCTCCCTCTCTCTCTCTTTCATTTCATCTTGTCCCTATTAATCGCTGTACCTAGGGTTCCTAAGTTTGAAACCCCTGTTTCAGTTTCTCCATGAAATGAGCCCTTAGGATTAAGCTAAGATTTAGAAGATGCAGTTGCTTGACTGGGCAGGGATGGTAGATAGGGGATCTGAAGGACAAATTGGTCTTTAAGTAAACTTCAGTCAATATCTCCATTTTTTATCTGTCTCTTCATTTTGTGTAGTACCTGCTGAATAAATATGTCTGTAGATCTGGGGCTTAAGATTAGTTGCTCATAGTTATTCTTATCTACAAAGATACCATGGGATGTTCAGCTTTCTCTTCTGTGGTACCCCCTCTATTGATTTTCATCTTCAAAAAATACACCAATATCTTTCCTCGGTTATTTTCAACCCTATTCGTTTTATCTTCTGGTTATAATTCATTACACTTATTTTAGTAGAGCTTTGGAAGGAAGTAGAGCTATATACCTGCTTTCAATGGTCCAAGCTTAACTAGTTATATCAATGATATTTTAACATCACAAGGGGAGAGGATGTACAGATTAAGTATTTCATTCTCACTGATGCTGAATTCATGGTCCCTTCATATTGACTTTTGGTCACTGGTTTTGCTTTTTCACTTGGTACTTTTTGGCGTTAGGTCTTTTACAGTCACCTCTATTCTTATGTATTTTTCACCATTGTTTCCAGTGTGGCAAAACTTTCTTTCTGATCAACTGGGGACAGTATAAACTACTGTTATTATTTTTTTTAGCTGATAAGAGGTTGGGGCCAAACAGGGAAATTCAATAAGGCTGTGTATACAAGAGACATAGAGTGCAGGAAGAAGATTCCTCAAGGTTCTGGACTTCAGATTCCAGAGTTACAGGAAAACAGAATATATCAATGGTATCCTTATAGAGCTCTGTAATGAAGTTGATAAAGTTTATATACTATGGATAAAAAGGGGTTAGAGATGTAACATTGTAGTTCTAATATAACTCTGTCTTTCCTGTTCATATCCGTAGCTATTCAACTTTGAGAATGCATTTCTGAAACCATCTGTTTTAATTTACGTTGCATTACATAGAGGAAGAAAAACGCAAATAAGTGTTTAGAAGATTTTCACTTAAAAATACACGGTGGGGGGGTCTTCATTAACGTAATTTTCACAAATTAATATTTACATTAATAAAAACTTGTTACTTTTTATAAAATCACTTTGAATCAGGCTTTATGTCTTCCTTCCTTTCTTCGTTCCTTCTTCTTTCCTTCTTTCTTTATTTTCTTCTTTCTTTGTTGCAGTTTGTTTTAGTAAGCTAGGATTTTAAAAACGTTTCTAATAGTTGACTCTTCATATTTGATTGTAATTGACTGAAAATAAATAGAGAAAAATATTCAGATTAAAGGGATGTGAAGTTCCTATCCTACCATTGGCTTAATCTGGTGGAAGAGTTAAATATAAAAATAATTACTTGAAATGAAAATATTATACTGTTTTTTCAGTGTTCTCTCTAAAAGGAAAATTGTGTTAATTTTTTAAAATTTCTTGATTCAGACTAAACAGGGAACAACTTCTAAATTAAAACTTTATATACTGTAAAGAAACAAATGCAGCATTATAAATAATTACTTTTTGGGTAACTATAATAAGATTGTAATTAAATTACCTTTAATTTTTTAAAAAATGTTTTACTTCGAATTTAGAAACTAGTATTATTATTATTATTTTATTTTATTTTCGAGGCAGGGTCTCACTCTGTCGCCCAGTCTGGAATGCAATAGTGGGATCATAGATCACTGTATCCTCGACTTTCTGGGCTCAAGTGATCCTCCCACCTCAGCCTCCTAAGTAGCTAGGACTACAGAGGTGCACCACTATGTCTAATTTTGGTTTTTTAAAAAAATATAGAGAGAGATGGGGTCTTGCTGGTCTCAAACTCTTGGGCTCATGCTATCCTCCCATGTGCTGGGATTACAGGTGTGAGCCACCATGCCCAGCCAGGAAAGTATTATTTATAGTTACTTCATGACACGAAAAATGAAAGCAAATTATCCATACCAATCCTCTTCTTTCATTTATTTCTTCACCGAACACCATTTGCCTGGTATGCTACGAGGGAGAAAGTACATGTGCCCGCCACTACGCTTCGGCTCATTTTTGTGTTATTAGTAGAGATAGGGTTTCACCATGTTGGCCAGGCTGGTCTCAAACTGCTGACCTCAGGTGATCTGCCTGCCTCAGCCTCCCAAAGTGCTGAGATTACAGACGTGAGCCACCGTACCCAGCCCTACTTTGAAATAAATTCTTAATGGGTTTTAGTTACCCATTTAACTGAGAAATTTAACAGCTCAAGGGCTAGTAAAACTGCGAAATTGAATTTTTGTGTTTTAAGACACAGTATTTCTGGTTAAATAATTCAATTTTGTTTTACTCAACATTGTTTCATAGCAACAAATTCCCCACCCTGCCACTTTAGTAACTAATCTGGAATTCTTTAGAACCAAAGGCATGTAAGCAAGCAACAAGAAATTCATCTGGAATTAATTGCAGTACACAAAGCAGGTGTGCCTCAAAATTCACAAGTTCTTTGGGAATAACAGATTCTAGGGAGCTGATAATTAATATTCTTGAGCTCTCAAAATAAATGTAAACTCTTATGAACTCTGTGAAAGGAGAGACATTGTTTACAAGTAGTATGCCTTGAATATTCCTTGGCACATAGTAGTCATTCAATAAAAATTTTAAAATCATATTTTCCCTACTTTGTTATTTATTTAAAATATTGTATGAGATTCAAGTGGCTTCCTAGTATACCTGCCTTCTTCTTATGATTTTTACAAATATCATCATATTTATGCACACAATAGCTTTGCAAAGTATGTTTTATTATCTACATTTCATAGATGGGGAACCATAGGCTTTGAGGTGTTATTTTTATCACTAACTACATTTATTTAAAAAACTTCCTAGGACATCCAGAATGTATATAAGCTTTATTCATCAGTTAGTAGGATGCCAGGAGAGACCTTTGAGGAAGGAAGTACCAGATAAGAGTGATACTTCAAAAACAGTGATCAGCTGGTGTATATGGGATGCATGGGGAGGGAGAGAAGCAGCAGTAGGGAAAACAATTTGATCTCACCATAATTTCCTACAACAAGGTAATTAAAGTATGAACTTCGGGAATAGAAACAGCAGAGCTGGAGAGGAAAGTATGAATGGGCTTCTAATCTCTTTCGCTGTTGTCATTTACTTTAGCTCTTGTGACATCTCTTACTTTGATCTTCCTCCCCTTGAAGACACTCTAAGTAAACCCTTAAATACTATGGAAACAGACTCTTTCTTTTAGGCTATAATGCATTGTGTTTAAATGTATGGAACGGTATTTGCTGTGATTGTTTTAAGAAAAAGGCTTGTTCATGCCTTTGAGAGCTCCGGACTACAAGATGCTTAGGAATGTCTCAACTCTAGATGCAACTGATTCTTTGCCAAAATGAGGCAGATCAAGGATGGTGGCAACTGTTGATTTTTGTGTTGGCCCAGCATCTTGCATAAGAGGGGGCATATTGTAATCACTTTGAAAATCGGTAAAACATCATGAGTCCCAGTTTCTGAAACTTTATTCTGTCTCCTGATTTCCTCCTTGTTTTCCAGATATATTTCCTCTCTGATAATCCTCTTTTTCTTTTTTGACTCTTTCTTTTCACTCAGTCTTTTCTAACAAACTTACTGGATCCTGATTATCGAGGCCTCCAGATCCTAAAAAGATGTCCTTTTAGGGGAGTAATAAGGAATCTGATGACTTCACCTTGGAATTACCTTGCTTCTGAACACATCACACCTATTTGAGAAAAGGTTCACATGTTTGGCTTAATACTGGTCTTTCATATAACCCCTTGCAGCAGGTAGAAAAACATGTTTCTAACTCTTCTGTGTAAAGGGACATAATTAAATAAAAAGAACAGAGGCAAAAAAATATAGAGTTTCTTTGTAAATGGAAACATTAGAGGAAGAAAAAAATGAATCTCCTTCAAATAATAATAATAAATTCAGCTCAAGCCTAACTGAAAAAAGGAAAATAATAAAATAAAATATAAATAAACTTGATAAGAACTTAGGACAGAAACCTAGTATAATCAAGCACTGGGCTATTTGCGTACCTTATTTCACAATAGCTCGTTTCGTTGTTTCAGCAGTCTTCATATTTCAAATGAGGAAGTGAGCCTCAAAGGTTACAGAGATAGTATCTGGAGAAGGACAGATTGAAACACAAATATATCATTGCCCAAAACACATACGCTTAGTGTTATTTTATACCATACATGTATGGTCCTCCAAAGCTTGTTCTCTCTTAGAAAACCCAAAACTCTGTCAGACATTGTGTTAGATGTGTATCTTTGGATCCGCATTGTGTTATCTTAAGTAGTGTGTACATTTGATTGGGGATATTTAGATTTCACAAATAATATAGGTTTTAAGTGAGTGAAAATATTAAAGTATGCTTTGAGAATTGAACCTATTACACAGTTTAATAAATACCCATTAATATAATTACTGCTGACATGTTTAGTATAATTTCCACTACTATGGCTATTACTAACTATAGCTATCTTTGAGTGTCAACGTATACAGTACTAGGCTATGTTGACATACATTATTTAATGCCATCAAGTACCACAAGGTTTTTTTCAAAAACATAATTGAAATTAGTCATAGAAGAAGAAAATGAAATTTCAAAAATTTTTGTATATCAATATCAAAATTTGTGCCGTCACAGGTATATGCCAAATAATATGCTTAGCATCAAGGCTAATTATAAAGCTGTTATAGTATGGTTTTAGCATAACGTCAGACAAAAGGATCAATGAAACAAATCCAAAAGTCCAGAAAAAGAACCAACAACATATGTAGTCATGTGGTTCACAATAGAGAAAATGCATTATAAAATATGAAAAAAAAAACAGTAGAAAAGTTATTATTTATACTCTTAGGCTGAAAAAGGCCTTTCTAAAAGTGAATATGAAATAAAATGAAAATATGTGTATGGCAGAAAACACTGCAAACAAATTAAAAGACAATAAAATAGGAAATTATTTGCAATATACATAATGGATAAAAATGGACTAATACTCTTAAAATAGTGCATGAATACACTAATGAGAAACAAACTGGTGCTTCAGTAGAAAGATGAGCAAAGAACTTGAACTGAATATTGACAAAGAAGAGATATAAATAAATGCTACATATTGCATGATGGCAAAAGTGAAGAAAATTATAATTCTTTTCAATCCTGGTGGGAGTATAAATGTGTACATATATTCAAGGAAGATGTAGTATTGCAAGTTGAAAGCCCTCTAATACATGCTCCATTTAGATAGCCAATTCACTTTGGAATAAAATTTCCTATCCAACAGAAGTGATATAATTCTGTCAGGTATATGTATAAATTCATTGCACTGCTGTCTATATAATGGTGAATGTAAAAAGCAACCTATTCAGACAATAATAAAGAATTGATGAGATAATTCATAGTAAAAACAGAAATTAGCACAGAAAGGAATGTAATAAAACTATAAGATGATGATACAGATGTATAACTTAGATTTGAAAGGAAGTTCATGATTATGACAAAGTAGGATACAGAATTTATATACTACACACACACACGGATCATATATATTTAAAATGTAATCTTTTCACAAAATGTATATATAGATTGCATGTGTGTGCATGTAGTGTTAAGAGTAAAAGATATGCAACACACAAAAAAGTTATCTTCTCCAAATTACAGGATTAAGGTAATCATGCTCTTCTTTATACATTTCTGTATTTTAAAATTTAAATGATGACTATATGTAACTTTTTATAACCAATGCTAAATGTTCTAAGTAATCATACCTGAGCATTTTGGGAGGCCATATTATTAGCTCTCATTTTACCCTTTCATTTACTTCACTGCCCTGATTTCTGCATCAATTCCATTTCTGTTTATACACCCTCTGCTGATAAAAATGCATACTGTGTCCATTAAAAGACATGTAGAGAATAAACTAGATTAATAAATTGCAGTAGTTCGTGTAATGGAAAACCAGTCAGCAGGGAAACCAATTGCTTTACATGATAAGGTTGAGAAGAAGAATACTCAAACACTGAAGATTATATACTATAGGATTTCACTTATGTAAATTGAAAAACTAAAAACTACTTATGTTGGTAGAAGTCAACAATTCTTGATTACATTTTGTGAAGAGAAATGAGAATAAAGATGGCTTCTAAGATGTGGTCAGTGTTCTGTATCTTGATCTAGATATGACTATAGGGATTTTTTCACTTTGCAAAAATTCATCACACCATATACTCATGATTTGTTCACTTTATTAATTAGAAGGTTTTTTTTCAAAATGGCATCTTTAATATTAATACTACATTTAGCACTAAACAGCATTGACATAAATCGATCTTTAAAATATCAAAGAAGAAAGTAAATTTTACTGAACAGAAATATTTTAATAACATATTATACTTTTTAATTTCAAAAGAATTTTATGAATAAACCTTTAGGGAAAGGATATAAAGTTGTTTTTGAAATTATAGGCAAGCAAAGGAAAATAATTTTGAAATGTTTTATATTTACTTACCTAGGAATACTATGTCTGAACTGCTCCATTCTCTTCTCTTTATGAAACGAAGGATCACTGTTGAGAAATGCCTATGTAAAAAGAAAATAATATGTTACCCTGGTCAATAAATAATTCTCCCTAGGAACATTTACTAAATCTAGTTGCTAGTGGTATTTTAGATTCATTCATTAACTCATTCTGACATTTCTACCTGATTTTACACGGTGAAATTCAAGCAAATTTCAACTTTCCGATGTGTTAAGAGGCCAATAAATTACCTATACAGCTAACTTATTATATCTGACAAGGCCCACTCTTACTTAACTGCAGGGTTTCCCAATAGCGGCACTATTGACACATCAGCCTGGATAATTCCTTTTTTGGAATTTTGGCTTAATACTGGTCTTTCATATAACCCCTTGCAGCAGGTAGAAAAACATGTTTCTAACTCTTCGGTGTAAAGGGACATAATTAAATAAAAAGAACAGAGGCAAATAAATAAAAGGTTTCTTTGTAAATGGAAACATTAGAGAAAAAAAAGTTAATCTCCTTCAAATAATAATTATAAATTCAGCTCAAGCCTAACTGAAAAAAGGAAAAAAAAATATTTTTTTTTCCTTTTTCAGAGGAATGTTCTGTGCCTTGTAGAATGATTAGCAGCATTCCTTACCTCTACTCACTAGTGCCACGATTCTGAAAAGTGAACAAAAGGAGCAACAGGGGATTGTGTGATTGGAAGGTGGGGGAGGATCTATCATTGGCAAATCAACTCTGATTTGAGAACCATTACTCTACTGTTCTGTATATTGGAATATTCAAGTAATCAATTTTAGTTCCTTGGAATTGCCTTAATATTCAGTGAATAATTGCATTTGTTATTTTGTTATTTTTGGCTTCACCTGCATAGTACTGTTTTTGCAATCATACAGGGAAAAAGGTTTGAATTAATATTTCTGAAATTATTTTGCCATTTGCCAAAGCGAAATCAATGAGGATCCCCTTCCAGAAAAGTCAAGCAAGTAGTTTTCTGTGCAGGAAATCAGTACGTATAAAGTACTTTGTTTTCCAGTGTGTTGATTATGCAGAAGTAACTGATTGTCTACTTTGGTATTACATTAGAGAGTAAATGGATATTTAAAATTTCCTAAGAGCCTACTTAGATTTTGATATTTTTGTTTTTTGTTTTTTGTTTAATTAAAACAGGTAACGAACTAAAAAGAAATGACTGAAAAAAATAAGATTTTATGCTGTTAATAGATATAAAAAGAGTCTGTTCTCTATTATGGCATTATTTTCAACATTTGCGATAGAACTTCTCAGACACAAATTCAACTGAAAATTAAAATTTAAAATTTCCAATTAGAAACTTCCAATATTAAGCTGAAATTTAAATATCTAATTCCAGGGTTCCCTATCTGTGGCACATCAGGTTGGTGTAGACACAGATGATGGGTGGCCTGAGGGTGAAAGAATCCTGACTCTCACGCCTTCACTGAAACATTAGGTAAAATGGTTTGCTGAGGTTATGTGAAACATTTACAAATCTTGATTCCTTGGAAGGATACATTTGAATTTCTGTATATACTGATGACTCTCTGTCAAAGGGGGATTTTAAAAGTGAATTTTATAACTATGTATTGGAATTTTTCCCAAATCCAAAATTTTGTTTATTCTGCCACCTCACCCGATTTTTGCTTAAAAGAAAGTGTTTTTAAATAATTAGAATATATTTTTTAAATGTACAGATTTGCCCACCATAGATAGCTGAAGAAAATGAAAGAACCTACAAGTTCACCTGTTATACAACTGTCATTTTTACATAGGAAGGAATGAGAATATGCAAGTTTCTTTGCTATTTTAGGGGAAGAATAACTCAGCAACTAATGGTAGTATGCAGTTATTGGCTTTGGTAACTACTTTATGAGAGATTAATGCCAATTTATTACTTGTTTTCTTAGGACACAGAGATGATGTGTGTAATGAAAATTAGGATAAATATTTCATTTTAAAACATTTTAGTAAATTTCTTATGTTGTTAATCTGACCATTTGAGCAAGTAATCCTCCTTATGCTTTACCTTATAAAATTATCTGTTGTAATGTACATGTTTTCAAATATGAGGTATTACTTGAGTCAAACTTTTAAAGATAGTATATGTACAGTTAAAAATTCATAAACTTTTAAAGATATTATATGGACAGTTAAAATTTATAAACATTCCTTGTTTTCCAGTTTGAACATTAGGTAATTTTTTCCCCTCTCCACCAAAATACAGATCTATCGGACAAGTAACCAGACTTGCCTATGACCCTCTGTGGCTACTTCATGAAAATATGATAGAGGTTGAGTATCCCTATGCCAACACTCCAAAATCCAAAGTGCTCCAAAATATGAAACTCTTTGGGTATTAACATGACTTTCAAAGGAAATGTTCATTGAAGCATTTTGGATTTTGGATTTTTGGATTAACGTTGCTCAACCAGTAAAATACAACTATTTCAAAAACATACAAACAAATCCAAAATCCAGAACACATTTAATCCCAAGCATTCTGGATAAGGCTTGTATTGTGATCAGATGTTTCTTTTGATCTATTCTTGCCTATTATTACAGTTCTGATTATTATTATTTGATAAGAGTGTATGCTCCTGGGTAAAAGAACATTTTTCATAATTCAAGTCTATGCATTTCCATGTGATTTTCAACTTCATAAAATTATTAAATGTGTCACATTTAAATATAACATGGTCACTAACTTAAGAGAGTTATTTGAAGAGACTGTTGGCACTGGTTTTATAGATTTTTAAAATATTTTTATAGATTTTAAATTCCGCTCATCAACAAGTCCAGAACCATGAATGGTATTAATCCCAGATGCCTCTTCTGCTTCGCACTTATTATTGACCCTCTGGGTATTACAAGTGGGACAACTTGCATGCACTTGCACCTTCTCCCTAATGGGCATCTGCACAACCCCTAGTCAAAGTAGAGAAACAAGAGAAAATTTAGGTTTTTAAAAAAATAATAACTATGTGTGTAAAACATAAAGTTGTCAATTCTCCCCTAAGTGCTCACCTCATGTTATGACTCTTCATAACCCAAAGAGAGTTATAGAGTGCAGGAGAAACCCCAAAACTCTTTGTCATCTTGTAATTTCTCCTAGAAAGAGGTATCTTGTATCATCCTTCTTCTGTTAAGTCAGAAGGGAATGCCTTTTAGGCATATGAATAACCAAGGAAGGGAATGACTCTTGATTCTCTGTAGCTCCCTGACGTTGTCATTGCACACTCAACTTTGGCTTCCGTAGCATCATAGACTCCTCCACTGAATATCATATAGGTTGCTGTTTGCTAATGCATACATGCTGACGATTACTAATAGTTACTAGTACCTCCTAATTGATTCATCCAAGTTGGAATGCAAAATTATATTAACTTTACGTTGGTTGAAGTTTTTATTACAGTTTAGTATCCATTTGTAAGGTACTTTCTGTTTTAAACTGCACCAAATCCTTTGAAAGATAAAGGAATCTGTTAATATTCAAACAAATGACCTCAATGTTCTAGAAAACAGTGGTGTATATAAGGCTCAAGAAAGCATTAAGAAGGAACTTGACTTTCATATGCATAACACTTCCACTTGAAAGATTTTGGTATGTCCACGGCTCAGAACTCATTCTAGTTTACTGGGACCTCTTCATATTCTTCCAAACTAGAATGTGAATGTGAATGTGCCATGGTTAGGTGGTAAACAGTCTTGTCACTATTCACTGAGATATTCACTAAACAACCCTATCAGTTAGGTGACAATGCTCACTTCCTAGGTTACTAGTCATTTAGAGTGAAAATGCAGAAGACAGATCTGAAGAAATACTGCCCCAGAACTTGGACAGTACTGAGGTAGAATAATGGTGTAAAAATTTCAATTTATCTGATAATCTCTGTACTGTGCATTTGTTTCCTAAAGATGTTATAATGACAATTCCACTCTGGCTGCAAGAGTCATATTACACTCGTATATCAAATGCCTATTTGGATCACCACAAAAACTCTATGAGAAAGATACTGTTATTTCCATTTTACAGAGTAAAATGAAGTTCAAAGAGATGAAGCCTAATCTTACTCAATTAAATATGATCTGGAGCAAAGATAGAAATCTGGGTCTTTTTAAAAATCCTTTAAGTTCTAGGGTACATGTGCACAACGTGCAGATTTGTTACATAGGTATACATGTGCCATGCTGGTTTGCTACACCTATCAACTAGTCATTTACATTAGGTATTTCCGGGTCTTTTGATACTAAAGCTTCTTTTCCTTTCACACCAGTATAATAATTACAGTCTAGTGAGAAAAAGCGAATTAATTGCTCAATCTTCAAGCCATTTTTATTTCATTTGTCTGCCATAGGCTACTTTTGTCAATGATTATTATAAATTAAATAATATATCAAAGGCATGCTCTATGCAGAAATAGGAGCAGTGAAGTAAATGAAAGGGTAGAATGAGAGCTAATAATATGGCCTCCCAAATGCTCAGGTATGACTACTTTAAACATTTTGTTTTGGTTACAAAAAGTTACATATGTTCATCATTTAAAATTTAAAATACAGAAATATATAAAGAAGAATATGATTACCATAATCCTGTAATTCAGAGAAGATAAACTTTTTTTGTGTGTTGCATATCTTTTACTCTTAACAGTATTTGCACACACATATGCAATCTATATATAAATTTTATTTTGTGAAAAGATTATATTTTAAATATATATATGATCCTTCTGTGGGTATGTAGTATATAAATTGTGTATCCTACTTTGTCATAGAATATATCATGAACCTCTTTTCATATCTAAGTTATACTTCTATATCAACATCTTATAGTTTTATTACATTCCTTTCTGTGCTAGTTTCTGTTTTTACTATAAATTATCTCATCAATTCTTTATTATTGTCTCTATAGGTTGCTTTTTTTTTTGAGATGGAGTCTCACTCTATTTCCCAGGCTGGAGTGCAGTGGCATGATCTCGGTTCACCACAACCTCTGCCTCTGGGATTCAAGTGATTCTCCTGCCTCAGCCTCCTGAATAGCTGGAATTACAGACATGCGCCACCATGCCCAGCTAATTTTTGTATTTTTAGCAGAGACAGGGTTTCACCGCATTGTCCAGGCTGGTCTCAAACTCCTGACTTCCTGATCTGCCTGCCTCGGCCTCCCAAAGTGTTGGGATTACAGGCGTGAGCCACTGTGCCCGATCTGCTAGGTGGCTTTATATATTTGCTATTATATAGACAGCTGCAAAATGAATTTATACATATACCTGACAGAAATTATATCACTTCTGTTGGATAGGAAATTTTATTCCAAAGTGAATTGGCTATCTAAATGGAGCATATATTAGAGGTCTTTCAACCTGCAGTACCATATTTTCCTTGAAGAGATGTTCAAATTTATACTCCCACCAGGATTGAAAAGAATTATAGTTTCCTTCACTTTTGCCATCATAC